AAAAGCCTTTTAAGTTTTTTGATTGTTGGTCTAAACATCCGGAGTTCATCTCTACTGTGTCCTCTACTTGGAATCAATATATTAGAGGTGTCCCTATGTTTAGGGTGTATCAAAACCTGAGGCAACTCAAGGTCAAACTCAAACTCTTAAACAAAAAGGACTTTAGCGATATATCGCTCCGTGTTCAAGCATCTAAGACCAATTTGGACCTTCTCCAATTTAAATTGGATAAGGACCCGTTGAATATTGTGCTTCAAGGTCAGGAGAGGGAGGAGCATAAGAAGTATTTAGATCTTAGCCAGGTGGAAGAGAGTCTTGCCCTTCAGAAATCTAGAATCCAATGGCTCGGGCTTGGGGACAGGAATAGTAGCTTCTTCTTTAGAACTGTCAAAAGTAATATAAATAGGGGGAAGATTCTGAGTGTTGATATGGGTAATGGCCTTAGATCCACTGAAAGTGGAGACATTCACAATGCTTTCATTCAGTACTACACTAATCTTTTTGGTTCCCCTTTTGAGGATGAGTATCATGGCTTTGAGAGAATCAGATCCCTGGTGCATTCCAAGGTCTCTGATGATCAATCTGCTATGCTGAGTAGGCCTGTTACTGATGGTGAAATTAAGGAGGTCTTTTGGTCCCCCAAGGCCAATAAGGCCCCTGGCCCTGATGGCTACTCAGCGGGCTTCTTTAAGAGCTCTTGGGATATTGTGGGTAAGGAGGTGACTACAGCTATCAGGTCTTTCTTTGAGTCTGGCAAGCTTCTCTCGGAAGTCAATAGTACTATCATTGCCCTTATCCCTAAGATTCCCAATCCCATGAAGGTGGGTGATTATAGACCCATTTCTTGTTGTAACACTATTTATAAGTGTATTGCCAAAATCATAGCGAATATAGTTAAGCATGTGTTGCCGAATTTGATTGATCCTGTTCAATCTGCTTTTGTTCCTGGTAGAAGGATCTCGGATAATATATTTATGTCCCAAGAGATCATGAGAGGCTACCATAGAGACTCCAAGGTCCCTAGGTGTGCTATGAAAGTGGACATCATGAAAGCCTACGACAATGTTAGATGGGAGTTTATCCTTGATATCCTCAAAGCTATGGACTTCCCTCTAAGTATGATTAATTGGATCAAGGCATGTATGACAAGTCCCTCTTTCTCTATTTGCATTAATGGTAGTCTTCATGGGTACTTCAAAGGTGCCAGAGGGCTTAGACAGGGAGACCCTATGTCCCCCTACCTGTTTGTGCTAGCTATGGAAATTCTTGCTAGAATCCTTGCTGAAAAAGCCAAGAGTCCTATGTTTAAGTTCCATTGGAGGTGTGATAAGACCAAAATTGTGAACCTTTGTTTTGCTGATGATCTGATGATTTTTAGTAAAGGTGATCCTGGGACTGTGAACCTTATTATGCAAGGATTGGATGAATTCAGAAGGCTATCTGGCCTTACTCCGAGTCCTAACAAGAGTAATATTTTCTTCTCTGGTTGTAACAGGCACCTCAGAGAGGAGATTCTTCATATTGCTAAGTTCAATGAGGGGACTCTCCCGGTTAAATACTTGGGAGTTCCTTTGATTACCAGTAAGCTCAAGGCTTTTGATTGCCAAATTCTGATCGATAGGATAACGAAGCGAATTAAGAGTTGGACTAATAAACTTCTATCCTATGCGGGTAGAGCTCAACTCATTCAAACCATCCTCTTTTCGATGCAAGTGTATTGGTCTTCTATGTTCATCCTTCCTAGGAAGGTTATTAGAGATATTGAGAGCCTGCTTAGAGCCTTTCTTTGGTCTGGGTCTGATTTGAAGAAGCATAGTGCTAAGATTGCTTGGAGCTCTATATGTAAACCCAAGAATGAGGGGGGCTTGGGTTTCAAAGATATGGGTATTTGGAATAAGGCTGCTGTAGCTAAACATGTTTGGTTCCTCTTCTCTGGTGGAGAGGGCTCTATGTGGTGCCAATGGGTCAAGTCCTACTTACTCAAAGGTAGGAGTTTCTGGTATGTTAAAGTCCCTAGTGACCCCTCTTGGGTCTGGAGGAAAATCCTGAAGCTTAGACATCTCCTCCTCCCCCTTATTAAGCTTAAAATTGGTAATGGGGAGCAAGCTTTTCTATGGTTTGATAACTGGCATCCCCTTGGATCGTTGTGGAGCAGGTTTGGGCCCAGAATTGCCTATGATTCAGGTCTTGACTGTAACTCTAAAGTTAGCTCCATCATCTCTAGTGGTGCTTGGAAGTGGCCTTTCCCTAATTCTTGGGAGATCCGAGAGTGGATTGCATCTACTCCCTCCACTTTTAAACCCACTGTGAGCACTCATGATTGTCCCTGGTGGAGTCTTACAGGTGATGGTCTTTTCACTATTCAGTTTACTTGGGACTGCTGGAGGGATAAGGGTCCTAAAGTCTCTTGGAGTAAATTGCTCTGGCGGCATCCCTATATTCCTAGGGCTTCATTGTTTGGTTGGCTATTCATGAGAGACTGAACACTAGGGATAGATTGCAAGTTTTTGGGCTTGTTACTCACCCTAGTTGTCCCCTCTGCAATGATCCTATGGAGAGTCATTCTCATCTTTTCTTTAGGTGTGCCTATTCATCACAGATTTGGGCTGCTATCCAGGGTAAATGTAATGTGAGTTGGCCTAACCTCAACTGGGCTGAAAATGTTGAGCTGGCTGTGATTTCTACTAAAGGTAGATCTCTGAAGTCTGCTATTACTAAGTTGTGCTTTATGTGTACGGTGTATCATATCTGGAGGGAGAGGAATGGTAGAGTCTTTAGTCAAACTAGTATTCCTGCAGAGATTGTCACCAAACAAATTATCCAAATGGTGAGGGGTAGGATGATTTCTTTGAGTAATGTGATGTTGTCTACAGGTGATAGCTGGTACTTGTCACAATGGAATCTGCCAACAACAATCATGAGCTTGCCTATTGCTGGAAGAGGCACGAGGGATGTGAGTTCACCTAAAAAGTGTGGAATCAATATATTCTGGGAGTCCCTATGTTCAGAGTTTGTCAAAAACTCAGACAACTGAAACCTGTTTTTAAGGCCATGAACAAAAAGGAGTTCAGTGACATTTCTACCAGAGTGTTGGCCACTAAATCTGAGTTGGATTCTGTACAATGGAAGTTGGATTAGGACCCTGGTAAGCTTGAGCTTCAGAGACTTGAGAGAACTCTCTACAAACAGTATGTTGATTTGACTATGGTTGAAGAGAGTTTGGCTCACCAAAAATCTAGGGTTCAGTGGCTGAAGTTGGGGGACTGTAATAGCAAGTTCTTTTTTAAGACTATTAAGGGTAATATTAATAGGGGTAAAATTCTTAATATTGAGTTAAAGGATGGGAGTATATCTAACAAGCCTGAAGAGATTCAAAATGCTTTCACAAATTTTAACTCTGACTTGTTTGGTACTCCTATTGCTGGCCATTATGATGGGATTGAAAGAATAAATGCCCTTGTTAAATCTAGGGTCTCCAATGATCAATCTGCTCTCCTTGCTAGACCAGTGACTGATCTGGAGATTAAGGATGTTTTTTGGTCTCTTAAACCTAACAAGGCCCCTGGCCCTGACGGTTACCCTGCTGGCTTTTTCAAAAAATCTTGGGGTATTGTTGGTAGAGAGGTAACCCAAGCTATTAGAACTTTTTTTTGAGTCTGGGAAACTTCTCTCCGAAGTCAATAGTACAATCATAGCTCTCATCCCTAAAGTTCCTAACCCTGCAAAAGTGGGAGACTTTAGACCCATCTCTTGTTGCAATACAATATACAAATGTATAGCGAAGATCATTGCAAATAGGATTAAAGAGGTCTTGCCTGACCTCATTGATCCTGTGCAATCAGCTTTTGTGCAGGGCAGGAGAATTTCTGATAATATCTTCTTGTCTCAAGAAATTTTGAGGGGTTACCATAAGAATTCCACTACCCCTAAGTGTGCGATGAAAGTGGATATCATGAAAGCTTACGATAGTGTGAGATGGGAGTTTATCATTGATATCCTCAAAGCCATGGCTTTTCCGCCCATTATGATATCTTGGATCAAGGCTTGTATGACAAGTCCTTTCTTTCTCTGTTTGCATTAATGGGAGCTTGCATGGTTATTTTAAAGGTGCTAGAGGTCTTAGACAGGGAGATCCTATGTCTCCTTATCTCTTCGTTCTGGCTATGGAAATCCTTGCTAGAATTTTTGCTGAAAAGTCCAATCATCCTCAATTCAAGTTCCATTGGAGGTGTGAGAAATCTAAGATTGTCAATCTCTGCTTTGCTGACGATCTTATGATTTTCAGTCTTGGGGATGCTCCCACTGTTAGTTTAATCATGCAAGGTCTGGAGGAGTTCTCTTCTCTTTCAGGCCTTACCCCTAGCTTCAGCAAAAGCAACATTTATTTCTTTGGTTGTAATGGGGGTTTGAGAGAGGATATCCTCAAAATTGTTCAGTTTACTGAGGGTACTCTTCCTGTCAAATACCTTGGTGTCCCACTGATAACAACCAAGCTTAGGGCTTCGGATTGTCAAATTCTCATTGATAGGATCACAAATCGTATTAAGAGCTAGACAAATAAAGCTCTTTCTTATGCTGGAAGAGCTCAACTTATCTAGACCATTCTCTTTTCTATGCAGGTTTACTGGTCCTCTCTTTTCATCCTCCCCAAGAGGGTTATTAGAGAGATTGAGGGTATCCTTAGAGCTTTTTTCTGGTCGGGCACAGATCTTAAGAAACATAGTGCCAAAATTGCTTGGGATAAGATTTGTGTGCCTAAAAATGAAGGTGGTCTTGGTTTTAAATCTTTAGAGGTTTGGAACATGGCTGCCATAACCAAGCATATTTGGTTCCTCTTCTCTGGAGGGGAGATGTCTATGTGGTGCCAATGGGTTAAATCGTATTTACTTAAGGGCAGAAGTTTCTGGAAAGTAAAGGTTCCCCACAACTCATCTTGGGTTTGGAGAAAGATTTTTTTTTGGGTGAATAAGAGATAAAATAAAACAAGAAAATTTACACAGCTACAAGAGGCATACCCCAGGACCTAACACAGCTATACAGAGGACAAAACAAAAGCCAACAACCTGTTCACCATTCCTATAATCTAGCAATAGGAAGAGTGAACAAGAAATATAAACAATTATAACAACCTAGGCGAAGAGAGCAAACTGAAGCATAGATCCAGGAGGCTATGGTCTTGAAGAGAACCTCCTGCTACTGTAGCACCAAACAAGAGAACCTGGACACTGTATCCACAAAAGGCACGAGCCAAAACAAAAAAACAACATCCCTACACATCCGCAACAATCAC